TTTCATCTCGAGCTGGGCTAAAGTTTTCAAATTAACCACAGATGTCACTTTAATGGTTTTGTGAAAATATTCATAAAATAAATTTATTGCTGCTCAAATAGACGATGATGTAGACAAAGAAGAAGAAGAAAAGTTTAAAATGTTTCAAAGAGAAGAACGGAGAGGAAATGAGGAACTTCAGATGTGTCTGTAATCTTTTATAAGAAAAAAAAAACTAGGAAACATAAATTAGGCATGTAACAACATGTAACAAGTAAAGAGCTAAAAATTACAACCACCACAACGAAAAAGCCAAAATCATTGAAAATTCTTCAATTTTAGCAGAAAGGTAGAAGGCAGGACACAGGGATTCAGAAGTAGGATATTAGTTTTAGAGAAAATAATATATAAATTAAATTAAATAAAACAAACCCAGTAAGGAAAAGTCAAAAGTCGGGCGGGGCGGACCATATGATACCCAACAGCACTATGCATAATAGGTAGAGCTCCCGTAACAAAAGAATTTATTTCAAGCAGACCATACAACCTATCCAAAATTTGACTCTTAGAGTATTTATGGCTTGGTATCAGAGGGAACTAATATATGGGAGGCATATCATATTCTGAATCGATTTTCACAAAATCTAATGGAGACATTTTAACCTTTTATACCAAATAACATTGCTATAGAGTGCATGATATCTCTTGGAAAAAGGTTTATATTACAAAATATATATATATATATCGGAGCCGAGCTGCACACAATGGAAACGTACGTCCCGAAACTTATTTTATTTTGACTGCCATGTTAGTCATTATTTGCACAATAAACCTGAATTCGGATTAAGGATATATATGGGAGCTACATCCAAATTTTAGCCGTACACGATAAAATTTCCGAGCCTTATAAGATATCTGGTACCACATGTAATTGTTGTCGAATGCATATTACGAATATGAGGGACTTAAACAACAAGTCAGATGAAACATATACATGGGAGCTATAGCTATATCAAAATTAGTTTTCACCAAATTTAATGTACTTGCTTCTGACTGAATTCGGTCGGATATGCCAAAATTCAGGTCATCTGCACTGGATTTGGTGCACGATTAACCCGAAATTGAACCGATCTCGACAACATTTGATACACTTATTTCGGAGCTGCATCTGATAACTGGCATACAAAATCATTGTTGTGGAATGCTTATTACGCTTGTGAGGGATATAAACCCCAAATCGGATAAAACATATATAAGGGGGATTATAGCTATATCTGAACCGATTTTCTCCAAATATGATTTACTTGCTTCTAGATTGAGTTCGGTGGGTTGTTCCAAAATGTAGGTCATTTCGACTTATATTGGCTATTTGGTGCAAAATTAACCCGAAATCTGTTGAAGATATATGGGAGCTATATCTACATGTGATCAGATTATCACCACTTTCATAAGGGTTCGTCCTTGGGCCAAATAAGTATTGCTTGCAAAATTTCATCTCAATCGAAAAATAAATGCGACTTGCATTTTGTTCACAAGAATACATGTACGGACGGACAGACGGACTGACATGCATAAATCGACTCAGAAAGTGATTCTATGAAGATCCCCAAAAGATACGATGGGTCTATCTCGCTTCATTCTCCAAGCACAAAGACATAACACCCTTACCACCATGTGGGGTAGGGTATAAAAAACAGAAAATATGGTGTGTCTGAGGAGCAAACCTTATCCATTATAACCACAAACTTAGAATATCAAATACAAAATTTCAAACAATTTCGTTGAATATTGTACCTAAATGGCGACTATAACCAAATATCGACCTTACGCGATAATTTGCTTAAGATGAGTCAATACTTGTTGAGGTCGTATTACACGTCAAATCCTATTTGATCTTCCATATGTGTTTAGATTCGATGCTTCTAGTCAGCTTTTATCATGTCTGATATAATATTTGCATTTTCTTCAGCTTCACGTAGTAACTTCAAATTCAGCCTTCTACAATTTGTAAAGGTTACGCTTACCGAACAGTTGTTTCCATTTTTATCACTTTTGGTGGTCGGTTTTGTTACATCTTCCACCGCGGTATGGGTTTTCTTTAGGAAATGTCTGGATATAATGCCAATAATCCTTTTTCTTATAGCACGTTAAAATGTCTGCTTCGAAAGGAATCTTGTGTGAAAGAGAGCAGCAGGAAAATACCTTATCAGAACATTGCGGACAATATTACGAACAATATTCACTAATTGCCAAAATTAAGGCAGAAAAGTCTCGATTTCTTCAAATCTTCAAAAAAAAAAAAAAAAAAATTCAAAACTTTAATTTCTTTTTTTAATTTGTCAAAATCAGAATTAGCCAAGACACAAATCGCTATGAGACGAGAACATTTTACTTATTACTAGGGAACTGAATAAAAAAGAAAAAGGTCTGCATAACAACGTTTTAATTAGAAGATTTTTTTGAAAACTACACGAAGAATCTAAAAAAACTCCACATATCTAAACTACTATGTTAGTCTCATACAAACACAGTAAGAAAATGTCAAAAGTTGGGCGGGTCCGACTATATAATACTCTACTCCACTATGTGTGAAAAAAGTTTATATGTATAGGGAATTTATGGGAAGTAGATCATACCAACTATGAAAACATAACATTGCTGTATAGTGCATGATATGACTTCGATAAGGATTATATTAAAAAATATTTATTGGAGTAATAGATGTACCGGATCGAGTTTCACCAAATGCTAAAATTTGGTTGATTATGAAATAATGAACCCCATTTGGGCTGATATTCCATATATGGTATATATAGATATAGAAGCTATATAAAAACCTGGACCGATCTCTATAAAATTTGCCAGAGGTATTTTCGAGCAGTATTTGATGCCAGGTATCCAATATCATTGTTGTGGAGTGCATATTAGGCATGTCAGGAACTTTAACACCAAATCGGATGAAATATATGTATGGAAGCTATAGCTAAATCTGAACCAATTTTCTCCCGAATTTGAAGAACATGCTTTTATGCGGAAATCCGTCGGAAGTGTAAAATTCAGTCCATTTGGGCTGATATTAGCCATTTGGTGCACAAAAAAAACTGAAATCGAAAAAAAAAAACAAATCGGATGAGACATATGTATGGGAGCTATAGCTATATCTGATCCGATTTTCACCGAAATTTGAAACACTTAATTTTAGACTAAATTCCATAGGAATTGCTAAACTTCAGTCCATATGGCCGTATATTTGTCATTTGATGCACAAATTTGAATTGGATGATGATGGGAGCTATATCCAAATCTGATCCGATCTCGACAACATTATAAATATCTATTTCTGAGCTGTATCTGATAACTGGTACCAAATATCATTCTTGTGGAGCACATATTATGAATGTGAGGGACACTAACAAAAATCGAATGAAACATATATATGGAAGCCATAGCTATATCTGAACCGATTTTCACCGAAATTTGAAGCACATGATTTTAGGCTGAATTCCGTCAGAAATCATTCTTGTGGAGTGCATATTACGCATGTGTAAGAACTTAAAACCCCAACTCGAATTAAACTTATGTATGGGGGCTGTAGCTATATCCGAACGGATTTTCTCCGAATTTGATGTATTTGCTTTTAGACTGTATTCGATCGGATGTGTCCATTTGGGCTGATATTAGCCATTTGGTGCACAATAAACCTGATATCGGATAAAGAGACTTCTGGGAACTACATCCTAATCTGATCCGATCGCAATAAAATTAGGCAGATGTATTTTTGAGCTCCATAAGTTATCTGATACCGAATATCCTCCTGTGAAGTGCATAATACGAATGTGAAGGACTTAAAACCCTAAATCGGATGTAACATGTACATGGATGAAACATGAACTGATTTTCACCCAATTTGATGTACTTGCTTCTAAACTGAATTCCTGTTGGATGTGCGAAAATTCAGGTCATTTGAACTGATATTGGCCATTTGGTGCACAATTAACCCGAAATCGATTGAAGATATATATGGGAGATATATCTAGATTTGGGCCGATTCCAACAGGGTTCGCCCTTGGACCAAACAAAAATTGTTTGGAAATTATCATCTCAATCGGATGATAAATGTGACCTGCAATTTGTTCACAAAAATACATAGACAGACGGACGGCAGAAGTCTGACATGCATAAATCGACCCAGAAAGTGATTTTATGAAGGTCCTCAAAAAGTAAAGTGTTACAAGCAAATACCCTTATCACTATGTGGTGTAGGATATAAAAAGGACTTCCCATCTTGTTATTGAAAAACTCTTTGTACGCTTCCATTGGCATGGTTTTAAGGTGTTTTATTTCAACGCTATCTTCCCGTTTCTATTTCGGTTTTCGGAAATTCTCTCATGTCAAGTGTAATGGCAGATTTGTTGTAACTCATCCTTAATTAGGGTCATTAGGAGACTATTAATTGTGGATACAAACCCAAAGCTCTGCCACATCACCGTGTCCTTCAATCGCGTAGCTACTATTTGCACCATATTTTCACAAACACTCTCACACACCAAGCAAACAAAACCAAAACACAATGACACTCATTATTTGGCGCTAATAGCGTTTCTTTTTTCAGTTCAGTTTCTAATGTTTCCTGTTAAGTTGTTTTTTTGTTTCTTCCCTTTTGTTTTCTATTTTTACGTTTGCTTTCATTTTCTTTTCCTTCTACTCTTTGTAAGCATTACTTTTTCTTTTGGTTTGTTCTCTTCTAAACAACGCTACAATAGCAGCAAATCCAAAGACAAACAAAAATGTATCCCGCCTGCACTGTTTTCAAATTTAATTTTTTTGTTTCGGATTTTTTGTACTAACCCAAACACCAACAATCGTTGGCCCAACCTCCACACCCGAATCCCTAACCTACCCCACTGCCCCAAAACAACAACAATCAAACAAACCCAACCCGCCACATATCCCCCCTGTTTTCGTCACAACCCCCTGTCATCATCCTCATGATATCATCATCATAATTGTATGAATTTCAGCAATGGGCAGTCCATACTACAGAGACATGGATGAGCCAACTAGTCCCGCGGGGGCGGGACATCATCGAAGTCGAAGTGCCAGTAGACCCGTAATGTCACATGGTCTGGATTATCCAAGTAAATATTGATTTTCCAATCAAGGAGAACTTTCGAACGAAACAAAAACTAATCAAACTGAAATATTCTCCAAATTATTATTATTTTTTCGAAAGGAGCCCCCCGTTATCAATCCTTGGATAGAGGAGGTCTGGTGGATCATCATGATCGTGAGTTCATACCCATTCGAGAGCCCAGAGATCGTTCGCGCGACCGGTCTCTGGAGCGTGGTTTATACTTGGAAGATGAACTGTATGGACGTTCAGCCAGGCAAAGTCCCAATCCGCTGGGTAAGTTTTTGTTTTGCATTTAAGACATTTCTTTTTTAATGCCTCTCCCGAAATCATCCCTCATTAATTTCATTATTCTCTGCTTCTCTTGATCTTCTATGTCTCCACAGGCTTCAATTCGGGCATACCACCTACGGATCGAGCGTATTTGGGCGATTTACAACATCAGAACACAGATCTGCAGAGAGAGTTGGGTCAACTGAAACGCGAACTGGAGTTGACAAATCAAAAACTCGGTAGTTCTATGCACAGTATTAAAACTTTTTGGTCACCCGAACTGAAAAAGGAACGAGCCCTCCGCAAAGAAGAAAGCGCAAAATATAGCTTGATTAATGACCAGCTGAAGCTGTTGAGCACAGAAAATCAGGTGAGTCCAAGAAAAGCTATGTATCGGGATCTTCAACATAAATATTATTTAGACGAACTTGGATAACACTGTCCCTATGGAATATCGTTTTATTTGGAGAGAAGAATAGATAGAGTGAAGATGTGATAGAAAAAAGCCTAAAAAGCCTAGAGTTTTCTTGTTCATATTGGTTTCGAGCTCTTATCAACCTCTTCTACTAAGTCAAGTTCTACTTTGGAGCCAGAAATTCGGGACTTTTATCCACAGTATAGATCTTCTATATGTTCTTTTCCATAGCTGAACACTAGGAGTTAATCGCATTCATGGCAGATGACCGAGCTAGGAACATCTGCACAGACGAACTGCCGAAGGGCGTTATTGGGCCACGGGACCTTTTAAAATGATTGCTATTTTGGATTATTTTATTTATTTATTTATTTTTTTGTTTATTCGTATAGAATATTATATTTTTATCTGGCGAAAGAGATAGAAATAGTGAAGTTGCTACAGAAAGAAGCAACGAAATGAGCATTTCAATACCGATTTCGATCTTCTATCACCTTCGCTGTATAAAGTTTCCCAAGACACTGGAACAAGCAGCCCCGGACTGTGCTCCACGTTAGATATTTTCTATGTTTAATTCCCCATAGTAGATCATCTTGAGTTAATCTTCTTCATGGCAATTGGCCGACGTAAGATTCTCTGCTCTACCAAAGATTACCCTTAAACTCCCCTCTCTACCCGAGAGGATATCTAAGCTTCTCCGCAGACCACTCAGCTCTCTAAATAGGCGAAAGAGGGCACTAAGCTTCTCTTTTCGAAGGAATCGGAATACTGAAATCCAGAAATTAGCTGTTAAGGTCCTCAAGGAATTGATGGAGCGAAGGAACCTTAAGCTTCTCAGTTCAATGGCAGAGGATATCTAAATCCACTCGATATCTGAACCGCCTCTAGAAAGTAGGAGATCTCCATTAAAAAGTAGAAAACTTTCTAGCTCCTCGTCTAAAAAATAGGAGACGTATGATCGCCTCCACTAAATAAAAAAATGGCTTTTGATCTCTTCCACAAGAAAGTATAGACCATTTGAGCTCATTAACTAAAAGGTAGATGACCCCAAGCTTCTCTATTAAATTGTAGAGGACATCAACCTCCGAACTGTTCTCAAATGAGTAGAACACCTTTGAGCTCCTCCACTAAAGTGTTGAGGTCCTCTGAGCTCCTCTACTGAAGAGTAGACGTCCCCTGAGATACCCTACTAAAGAGTAGACGACTTCTAAGCCTCTCTACTAAAGAGTAGGGGACCTCTGAGCTCCTCTACTAAAGTGTAGGTGACCTCTGAGCTCCTCTACTAAAGAGTAGGGAACCTCTGAGCTCCGATTCTGAAGTGTAGGTGACCTCTGAGCTCCTCTACTAAAGTGTAGGTGACCTCTGGACTCCTCTACTAAAGTGTAGGTGACCTCTGAGCTCCTCTACCAAAGAGTTAGCGATCTCCGAGCTACTCTACTAAAGAGTATGGGGTCTCTGTGCTCCTCTACTAAAGAGTAAGGAACCCCTGAGCTCCTCTACTAAAGAGTAGGGGACCTCTGAGCCCCTTTACTAAAGAGTAGGGTACCTCTGGACTCTTTACTAAAGTGTATGGGGTCTGTGAGCTCCTATACTAAAGAGTTGATGACTTCTGAGGACCTCTTCTAAAGAGTGAGGACCTCTGAGCTCCTTTACTAAAGAGTAGGTGACCTCTGAGCTCCGATTCTGAAGTGTAGGTGACCTCTGAGCTCCTCTACTAAAGTGTAGGTGACCTCTGAACCCTTCTACTAAAGTGTAGGTGACCTCTGAGCTCCTCTACCAAAGAGTTAGCGATCTCCGAGCTCCTCTACTAAAGAGTATGGGGTCTCTGTGCTCCTTTACTAAAGAGTAAGGGACCCCTGAGCTCCTCTACTAAAAAGTAGAGGACCTTCGTGCTTAAAAAGTTTAATTTCTTCAAGCTCAAGTAATAAAATGTGGACGTCCTATAAGACCCTCTACTAAGGGAAGAACATCTCCGACCTGAAAAAGTAGGGCTCTATGAGCTCCTCCATTAAAAAGAAAAGTTTCTCCGAACTTTTCACTTAAAATGATAGCCACTCCGAGCTTCTTCTCTGAATAGAAGAGAAACCCCAACCTATTCTTCTATAGAGTAAAAGACCTTCGAACCCTCCTCATCGATTAAAAAGTAGAGATTTGTCACCAAAAAGTAGAGGGCGTTTTAGTCCCTCCGAACGTCCGAGCTTTTAATGTAGGAACAAAAGGACCTCCGTAATTCTCCATTTAAAAGGAGGAAATCTATGAACTATTCTACACCACCAAGCTCTTTTTCACATGAAAATGGAGAACCTCGGGGAACTATGAGCTAATGTACTGTTTTTTCTGAATAAGACCTTAATCTCTTCTGTCTTATCTGAGGTGTCATCTGAGTTCCCATCCTATATGATAGAGCATTTATAATATATTTTCTTTTGCACCATGTGACTGCCGTCGCCTCTCTGATGCCTCTCATTCATTTCTAGATAGTGTCAATTTCCCTATGGTTTAAAATCTCTTAATTTCGTCCACACTGTTATTCCTTTGACATTTTTCTTTACTTAAATTTATCTTAAATATCAATTCTATTTTCTCCTTTTCTCATTTACAGAAACAAGCCATGCTGGTGCGTCAATTAGAAGAGGAGCTACGTGCTCGCATGCGTCAGCCCAACATCGAGATGCAGCAACAAATCGAGGCCGTCTATGCGGAAAATGATCATTTGCAACGTGAAATTAGCATTTTGCGAGAGACAATCAAAGATTTGGAGTGTCGTGTCGAAACGCAAAAACAAACTTTGATTGCACGCGACGAAAGCATTAAAAAACTATTGGAAATGTTGCAGGCCAAGGGCATGGGTGAGTGTCGGAATGAATATTAAATCTAGATAAACAACAACAGCTGCAATTGTTTATATGTGTATGTGAACAATTAACACGAACTCTGTGTGGCTGTGGGTGGGTGATTATCAGCGCCGCCATGAGATGACATCTTGCTTTGTAAATAATTGGGGTTGTGGGTATGTGTGTGTGTTTGAAATCCATAGACGTTGTATCACAGCTGCAGGTTAATGATGATGAGTTTAGAATTATTTGCCCTGGAAGTGAGGGAGCGAAAGATAAATATAATGAGGAAAGCTACTGGAATATCCAAAACATAATTTGCCACAAGAAAAGCTAACAATGTTTGCTCATAAACTTGACAGACTTGTTAACAAATTCCTGACTTGCCAAGAGTTGTGACTGTAAAGAGTCAACTTTGTCAATTTATGAAAAGTTTAATTAGAATTCCACCTCCACGGTGGGCAATGTACAAAGATACATTTGAAGCTTAGAATTGGAATATTTTAAACAGGAAAGAATTTTACTTAAGTACACACCGTTGAGACATTATCTATACAAGGTGGGATAAAAAAAAAACTGCAACAAAGTGAAACGCCATAATTTTTACATTTTTTTTTAAATTTTAAATTTTTTTAAATTTATTTTTTTTTTTTTTTGAATGAAAGCAAAATATGTCGGAAATGGCTTCAAATTTTAGAATAATTTTAGATTTGTTCGAATTGTTCATCTTTGGCACGATTAATAAAACCGTCACACGCTGCCCGAATGTTGCTCTGCGGTATTTAGGTGCATTCCCGGCGAAACGCTTGCTTGAGGTGATCGACACTTTGGTATTTTTTAGTGCCAACCTTGCTTTCCAAAATACTCCAGACACAATAGTCCAAAGGATCGGTATCCGGAGTTTTTGGTGGCCATTGTGCGATGAAAATGCAGCGAGGAACCTCATTTGGTAACCATTCTTGGATGGCGCGTGCTGAGTGCGATGGTGCTGAGTCCTGTTGGAATGTCCAAGGTCTGCGGCCAAAATGATTGCGTCTCCAAGGCTTTAATATATCCTCCTGAATATTTTCGGCATTTGTTCTGATGTTTGACCAATAAGAGCGGAGAGGGGCCATCGGCTGTTATGGGGCCCACACCATCACAATGGCCGGCGGTTGAATTCTGGTGGCCAACCGAAGGTGCACATTTTGAGCTGACCTCTTTAGCAAGTAAACAGGATCATTTTGTTTGTTTACAAACTGCTGGACAACGAATGTTTTCTCATCGGAGAAAACCTAATTCGGCAGTTCACCAAGCGAAACAACTCTTTAGCTCTTCTGAGTCTATTTTCTTTTGGTTGCGGTGTAAGTTCTTGCACTTTTTGGAATTTCAATGGCTTTACCCCGAGATCATTTTTCAATATTTGCCGAATGGAATATTGCGATATGTTCAGCTCACGAACCATTTTTCGGTCACTGCGACGCTGGTTTCGATTCACATTTAAATGCTGGAGAGCTCTAACGATAGCCACACTATCACGATTGAATTCCATTACGAATAATATTTTTTCTGGAAAATTCTCACCAAAATGCTTTTGTACGCTTGTAAACAATATAATGAGCTGTCACTGGAATAATTGTAACAGCTGCTTGGAAATGACAGTAGTCTGAAGTTGGTTGCAGTTTTTTCATCTCACCCTACATGTGTTGAGGTATTATGACTGTGGTTGGGCCAAAAATTTTGTAACACCTTGAAATATTGGTTCCCCACATAGAAACTCACATATGGATCTTCCTATCTCGCCGAGCTAAGTCCATCTAACTACGTATGTCCGTCCGGCCGTCCGTCTGTTCATGTTAATTTATAATCAAGCTACAGGTCGCAATTAAGGTCCGATCCTCATTTGGCCAAAAAAATAATAATATTTTTCTGATGTTGCAATCGCTCTACAGGTCAGAATTGAAAACCAATCGACACAGAATTTAGCATGGGGAGAGAGTTAAGGGCAGGGAAGTAGTCTTGTACTTCGGATGACCATTGTATTATATTTAGCTGTAAAGTGGACTACGACTTTCGTATGAATTATTTTTGAATACCTATCAACACCACGAGGGGCGTAAATGTTGGACAAATGCCCCCGGTCAAAAACTAAGGGTAATATCTAAGGATAATATCAGACTTTTAAAATTGGATTTTTTATTCACAAATTGACGATATTTTTGGCATGACTTTTTTCCTCAACCGGACTTCCTTTTAGTGATTTGGGACATCAGAAATCGGCCATATCTTCTTTCCATAATTTTAATTATTTACATATAACCTAATTCCTTAATGGCAATTATAATAATGAACGATATTTTCCTTTTCTGCTTTTCATTTTTCTGCTCAACACTTTCATGCCGAACCACAACAACATTCATTGTGCCAAAAAAAATTAAAATATGTCAACATAAAAACCTGTACCAACAAACCACTTGACCAGGTAAAGAAGAAGAACGTCAAATGTTCCAACAAATGCAAGCGATGGCCCAAAAACAGGTAATTATTTTTGAAACTATTTTTTACATTTTTTTATGTAACAAAAGACACAAAAAATATTATTTGTATTTGCTTTTCTTCTCTCTCATAACATAAGAAAAAATCTCAACAGAAAGTAAAATTAAAAGAAAAGAAATTAAAACTAAAAAGGAAAATTTTTATATTTTTCTGCAAAGGAAAAAAACAAGAATAAAAAGAAAAGAAAAATAATGAAAATTTTTAAAACAGAAAAATTAATTATTGCAAACAAAAACCTTTTTACATAAACAATGGAATTCGTAACAAAAAAAAAAGTAATTTTCATTATTTATTAAAGAAAAAGGCATAGGTTTTTCGTTTATTTTCTTGAGTTGAAATGCGATTTATTTTTGGTTGGTTTAAAAAGTAACAGAAAAATAATAACTTTCTTTCTTTACCATCCAAAGCCAACACGAGTTTGGCCTTGGTTCGCCCCTCCTAGACGCAAAAGAAATTTATAAAAAAAAAAAAAAATATAAAAAATATAATAATATATAACTTTTTTTGTTAAATTAAAATATTTTTTGGTTTTAAGTGTATTCTCACCACTTTACTCTAGCAGAATATTTGCATACCGACTTATGTATGTATGTATCACAGTTAGAAGTCTTTTATGAGTTCTTTCTTTGATTTCATTTCATTACAACTTTTTTCCGTTCGTTGTTTCCATTTGTTTTGATTAGGAAAATCATCACATGCCAAGAAATTATAAATAACATTTTCATTTGGTTTTCCGCCGCCGCCGTCACCACCTTCACCACAAACAAAAAAACAACTAAAACAAAGCAGAAAGAAAAAACCGAAAAAAAAATAGTAAAATGAAAAACTTAGCAATTTCAGCAAACAGAATTCATTACTTCATTATATATTTTTCTTTTGTGATTTTTTTTTTTTTTTGTTTTAATTTTTTTCAAGATTAGTTTCATAAGAAAATTCGCCCAAGAAAACACAACCACACTTCTCTAACCACCAACCATAACTCTTTACTGCTTAAACAACATTTCTTATTCTATCTGGGAAAACAGAATAAAAAACACAAACTCAAAGTAGAGAATAGAAGGAAAACTTACAACACCCCTCTGAGAAAGTATCTTTGTCCAACCATCATCTCAACGTCTAGTCTACCTCTCTAGTCTACCTCAACTCCTTTAGATATCATTCGTCCTTATCTTTTGAACACGAAAAAAAAAACAAAAGTAGAAGAATTTTTTTTGCTTAAATATAAAATTGTGTTGTAGTTTCCCCTGCTTTCTCTCTGAAAATGAAGTAAAATTGTTGACGATTAGTTCACATAGTTTTTCTTATATTTTGGACATTTTATTTTTATTTTGTTTTGTAAACATCAGTGGCATAGCTAATGTAGGAGTCTAATAAATTTTTAGAAAATAATCTATCTGAAATCCTGAATTCTTTGTAATTCAGTAGTTTAACTAAAACTCCTTCCCCCCACCTAGTAACTCATAACTACGCCTTTGTTTACCTCAACTCCTTATACTCTTTCCCACATCACCTTGAAGCTTCCTTTTTGCAGTTCACTTCATATAATTCATATAATTTTGAGGGTCAATCGCAAAAAATAAAGAGTGCTGTTCGTTCCATTGTAGTTCCATTTCCGTTGCTTTCTAATGCTCTCCATGATTTATGTATGTTTGAAATTTATGTCCATCACATTTTTCCTTTTTTTTTTTGTATTGTTTTTTTTTTTTTTTTTTTTTTTTTTTTTTTTTTGGTTTCTTTTGGAGGTTCTTTTATGTTAACCTTGTTAAATTTTTCTGCCATAGAAATAAAATAAATGTTTAGACTGAATTTCAAAATGTATTTTGTTGCTATAACATATATTTACTATATTCATATTTTCGAAAATTTCCAGTAATATTTTAATTTTATATATTTAATCTCTACATAATAATTTGAGTGTAATTTCTGAGAAGGTATAAAAATAAAAAAAAAGTAAAAAAGCAGCTTAGTTCGGCCGGGACGAGTTTTTAATACCCTTCACAATTTTGTAGGAACTTGACAATTTTCCAAAAAAAAAAAAAAAAAAAAAATACCACCACAAAAGAAGCCCTTTAAAGGGTCTTTACCAATACGTGGTCCTGTATAAGTAATTTTTGTCATAGGCTGTAGTACCTATTACGAACTTTGGATACGAAATCTGAAACAATTCCGAAAACAAATTTCAGTAATATGATCAAAATACCGATTAAAGGGAGATGCCGTTATATGTGGGCTAAATGAAGATGTGGACCTACATAGGCAATTTTCCGACTTCAGACTGCTGTCATTTCCAAACCACTCGTCCGACATGTTAAAAGTATCCCAGTGACAGATATATTGTTTACAAGCGTACAAAAGCATTTTTGTGAGAATTTTCCACAAGGGCCATCAATAAACGTGGATTTTTTATAAATTTTTTTTCAAGGGCCATCAATGAACGTGGATTTTTTAAAAATATTTTTTCAAGGGCCATCAATAAACGTGGATTTTTTAAAAATATTTTTTCAAGGGCCATCAATTAACGTAGATTTTTTAAAAATATTTTTTCAAGGGCCATCAATAAACGTGGATTTTTAAAAAATATTTTTTCAAGGGCCATCAATAAACGTGGATTTTTTAAAAATATTTTTCAAAGGGCCATCAATAAACGTGGATTTTTTAAAAATATTTTTTCAAAGTCTTAAATAAACGTGGATGTTTTAAAAATATTTTTTCAAGGGCCATCAATAAACGTGGATTTTTTAAAAATATTTTTTCAAGGGGCATCAATATACGTGGATTTTTTAAAAATATTTTTTCAAAGTCTTAAATAAACGTGGATTTTTTAAAAATATTTTTTCAAAGTCTTAAATAAACGTGGATTTTTTAAAAATATTTTTTCAAGGGCCATCAATAAACGTGAATTTTTAAAAATATTTTTTTAAAGTCTTAAATAAACGTGGATTTTTTAAAAATATTTTTTCAAGGGCCATCAATAAACGTGGATTTTTTAAAAATATTTTTCAAAGTCTTAAATAAACGTGGATTTTTTAAAAATATTTTTCAAAGTCTTAAATAAACGTGGATTTTTTAAAAATATTTTTTCAAGGGCCATCAATAAACGTGAATTTTTAAAAATATTTTTTTAAAGTCTTAAATAAACGTGGATTTTTTAAAAATATTTTTTCAAGGGCCATCAATAAACGTGGATTTTTTAAAAATATTTTTCAAAGTCTTAAATAAACGTGGATTTTTTAAAAATATTTTTCAAAGTCTTAAATAAACGTGGATTTTTTAAAAATATTTTTCAAGGGCCATCAATAAACGTGAATTTTTAAAAATATTTTTTTAAAGTCTTAAATAAACGTGGATTTTTTAAAAATATTTTTTCAAGGGCCATCAATAAACGTGGATTTTTTAAAAATATTTTTCAAAGTCTTAAATAAACGTGGATTTTTTAAAAATATTTTTTCAAAGTCTTAAATAAACGTGGATTTTTTAAAAATATTTTTTCAAGGGCCATCAATAAACGTGAATTTTTAAAAATATTTTTTTAAAGTCTTAAATAAACGTGGATTTTTTAAAAATATTTTTTCAAGGGCCATCAATAAACGTGGATTTTTTAAAAATATTTTTTCAAGGGCCATCAATAAACGTGGATTTTTTAAAAATATTTTTTCAAAGTCTTAAATAAACGTGTAGTTTCCCTTGCTTTCTCTCTGAAAATGAAGTAAAATTGTTGACGATTAGTTCACATATTTTTTTTATTTTTTGGATATTTTATTTTTATTTTGTTTTGTAAACATCAGTGGCATAGCTAATGTAGGAGTCTGTGTAGGGATATTAAATATTTTTATTTGGAATAATTTTTAGAAAATAATCTATCTGAAATCCTGAATTCTTTGTAATTCTGTGGTTTAACTAAAACTCGCCCCCTAATAGTAACTCATAACTACGCTTTTGTTAACCTCAACTCCTTATACTCTTTCCCACATCACCTTGAAGCTTCCTTTTTGCAGTTCACTTCATATAATTCATATAATTATGAGGGTCAATCGCAAAAAATAAAGAGTGCTGTTCGTTCCATTGTAGTTCCATTTCCATTGCTTTCTAATGCTCTTCATGATTTATGTATGTTTGAAATTTATGTCCATCATATTTTTCCTTTTTTTTTTTTTTGTATTGTTTTTTTTTTTTCTTATTTTTTGGTTTCTTTTGGAGGTTCTTTTATGTTAACCTTGTTAAATTTTTCTGCCATAGAAATAAAATAAATGTTTAGACTGAATTTCAAAATGTATTTTGTTGCTATAACATATATTTACTATATTCATATTTTCGAAAATTTCCAGTGATATTTTAATTTTATATATTTAATCTCTACATAATAATTTGAATGTAATTTCTGAGAAGGTATAAAAATAAAAAAAAAAGTAAAAAAGCAGCTTAGTTCGGCCGGGACAAGTTTTTAATACCCTTCACAATTTTGTAGGAACTTGACAATTTTCCAAAAAAAAAAAAAAATACCACCCCAAAAGAAGCCCTTTAAAGGGTCTTTACCAATACGTCGTCCTGTATAAGTAATTTTTGTCATAGGCTGTAGTACCCATTACGAAATTTAAATACGAAATCTGAAACAATTTCGATAACAAATTTCAGTAATATGATCAAAATACCGAATAAAGGGAGATACCGTTATATGTGGGCTAAATGAAGAAGTGGACCTACATAGGAAATTTTCCGTCATAGGTTTGTAGTAACCATTACGTGCTTCAAATATGAAATTCAAATACTCAAAATACCGAACATGAGGAGGTATCGTTATATGGGGGCTATACGACATGCATACGCAATTAGTACCCATTATGAATTTAAAGTGCGAAATTTCAAACAATTCTGGTAAAAATGTCGTTAAAATCATCAAAATAACGAATATTGAGGGGTACCCTTGTTTGGGGGCTATATGATATCATAATGTTCTTTTCCAGGACGTAAAGTACTCAGAAGAA